ATACGATTTTCGGATAAACTCAATCGTGACATGTGCCAGAGCTCACGACGTTCCGACCTTCAGAATCGCACTGTGTACGCCCACCTTAAGGGCGTGATCCTTGTCTTTTATTTTCGCCATAATTAAAAAATGTCCTGGAAAAGTCCTACTAAATGTCTGTTTCTCTCTCAGTCCCAGACGGTCCCTGACAACCGGCGACAGGCAGAATGTCTCTCTCTTTCAAGAGAGGTGTGCCGATCACGCACTACCCATAATTCCAGGAGACAGTTGCCTGATTTGTTAAATCAAATGAAAAATTGTGTTTTTGATTGGTCCAGACGCTACACTACTTAAAATTTCTTTTGAGAGAAGTATTATTTTTCCTATTTTTACCCAAAATAGGATGGATTGGCCATTATTGAGCACTATAAATGCATTTAATGTCTGTTTCATTCATACTCGTAGACGGAGAGTGCCCTCGGGCAGAAACTCCACATGTGCATCACAGAAGTATAGCACGGAAAATGCACGGAAATTATTTAAACTAGGGCTGCACGATAAATCGGAAATAAACCGCACACGATTTGGTGGTTGAATGCTGCTGCATCTAAAAGCCAGAGGGCTCTCTCGCGCAGAAACTCCAAATATGCCCCGCAGAAGTACCATAACACATGTAGTTCCAGGAAATGCCTATGGGCATCTTTCTATCACTGTTCTTCAAGCCTTCTTAGGTATTTTCATGATAATAAAGTATATTTATAATGATGATGTTTGACGAGTGTTGCTTTTACAAATGCACATTAAAAGCGATTTAAACTCGTAGTGATTTCAGACACTTCCTACTGATCAAAGAGCCGTGCTTCACAGACAAGCTGTGCATAAAAACATAATCGCAGCCTTTGCGATATCATAATCGCACTAGACAGATTTATCGGGCAGCCCTAATTTAAACTCAAAACCAGAAAAACGTAATTCTCAAGTGCGTATTGAACCGTGGGTGTCGTGGACTGCCTAATTTCAAATGAAAACGCAAAGTTCATTTGCAACGGTATTTCCCATGCCTCACGAGTTATGAGCTTGTCATATTTAAATAGCAATATTAATTACCACGTCTGCTTTCTCACTTTCTCTGTGTTGCATGTTACCTGCCAAAACTCAAATGGAATCACAATTCCTTTTTCATTAAAATTTCCGATGCCTTACACAGAAACCTGTCAATCAGTGTCAGGGGCGGGACTATACTATGGGTTGTGTTTGTACTGGGAGGTGACGTCACTCACAGACGATTGTGCCGAATGCTTTGAACAATGGAGCTAATCGTCAATATTCACCATTAACAGAATGCTTTTCACGTTTTATATTATATTATATTCCTCCTCTCTTTTAATCCATAATGGAGCACGCACATTTTTTTAATAATCAAACAGACAGTGCAAATCTATACTTATTTACCTATTTGCCACCTTACCTTATATTTTATTCAACCATTTTAATCCGTTATGGAGCACATGTCCCGTGGCACCTAAGCGTAAAATTAGGACTGTGCAATTAATTGCATGCGATTGTCATGCACATCTCATTAGTAAAGCACTGACAAGCTACGCAATATCGTGTTCATTATAGCAGGCGATTCTATCTGCGATAATGAACGCGATATTGCCTAATTGTCAGTGAACTACGGCTCTGTGTAGTAAATGCCGCTCCATCTGAAAGCAAGTGATGGAGATTTACTACTAATCACGGAACCAGCTTTACTGACGAGATGTGCATGACAATTGCATGCGATTAATTGCACAGCCCTACGTAAAATATACGGTAATAAGTGTAGAATTGCACTGTCTGTTTACTCACTTGCATCAGTCGGAGTGTAAACAGTGAGAGATGTTGAGACAGGTGAAAAGTGTTTGGTTAATAGTGAATATTGTGCATACAGTTGTGGCTCCCGCTGTTAGCAGGGGATAGTCGTTGCATTTGGGGTAAAAAAAGACAGAATTATTTATTGTGTAATGTGCCAAGAAGGTTACACTGTCTGTTGGTTCACTATCGGATTGGCAGCTGCCTTTAGACAGTATATTTTGGTATTATGAGATTCCATTTGAGTTTTGGCAGGTTACATGCGCAACACAGAGAGAGTAAAAAAGCAGACGTGGTAATTAATATTGCTGTTTAAATATGACAGGCTCATAACTTGATATACATTAAATACATTTGCAAATCGGCTTTTCTTTTCAATTTGAAATTTGGCAGTCACTGTGTGTTCGCAAAAGCGAAAACGCAAACGGTAACGTTTGGATTGCATTTGGATTGTCACAATTAATGCGTCCACATATGGAAAACGCATTTGAAAATACAATTTGCAATTCCTTTTGAAAATTGTTCGGAATATCCTTCCATAGGGAACAATATAAGCATTAAAACAAAATGTAAACATTTATATGTGTTATATGTGTTATCCAATTCTTGCTCTTGGCAAATGTTGGTAAACCTTTTAATTTTAGAATTTTAGATCCACTCAAAAATAGAGTGACTAGGGCTGGGTTGACAATATCAATTGATTTGAATCAACCTTCATTTTAATTAATCAAGATCGATCTTTTAGTCTATGCTGTTTTCTATTTATGCATAAACAAAACTTGACAAAACAAAACGGTATAAGAAACAAACAAAAAGTTGGTATAAGAACTACTGTATGTTCAATTTAAATTGTTGTATTCAACTACTTTTGTGTTGATTACATCTAAAAATAAATAGCAATTTAATTTAAGATTTTGGACTTTAAACCTTTAATATTATAATAATGTATCAACTGACAGGGTTTTCTGTAGATCATTAGTTGTGTAGTTTTCTACACAGCATTAATTGAGAGATTGTTTTCATTAAGAAAATTGTGACGTATTGTACCTGATATATATCCAGATGAATTGATATCAAATCAAATTCATGAAATCTGTGTCAAAACCCAGCTCTAGTGTCTTGCAAAGAGAAGAATTAGGTCAGGCACCATGCCAAAGCATTGCCAGTCACATTTCAGTGTGTGTGATTCAATCTTGACTATTTATCATCTTCTCAAATCTGTGTGATTTAAAGTATACACATGTTGCCTCTGCTTTTGTGAGAATTGTCCTGTTGAAGGAAAGTGAAAATAACTGACTAACTGTCCTTTTATATTTTTGTAGAAATCCAGCCCAACCACAGACTCCAAGTAACTGGATGGACATGAACAGTTTGACGAAAGCTCATGGTGCCTCCAATAATAGAGATGGCCGTCTGAACACAGAATGTGAAATCAATAACCGCTCAGCAGCCAATCTCCGCAGTCTCAACGTCCCTTCAGTCATAGGTTGGACCTTGCAATCTTTCAAATCTATAAATATTCACCAGTGTGCAATTTCTGTCAACATAGTCAGTCTTCTTACAAAGTTATTAATCTAAAATAAAAAAAATTCTGTGCTAACAAAACTATCAACTAGAGCCCTGCACTGAAATTATATATATATAATTTCACCAAATCAGCTTGTCTTTGTAAAATGGCACAGCTTATTAAATGTTAGCTTCTTAATCAGTTAATCATATTATTATTATTATTATTATATTATTATAATTAAGCACTATTTAATTATTATTCGGTATGATAGAACTTTAGTGATTAGACTTGGTAACCATGTATGAATCGATATTTGTCATTTTAACTGAACTTAGGACTGGTGGTGATGCTTAACATATTGTTGTCCATTGGGTTTCCAGGGCTCGCAAAATCGCTAGCCTGACGTCCCGGGGCTATTGTGTTTTCCAGTCGGGGTACCAAAATGTATCACCACTCTGCCCGACGGGCTATCTTAAATGCAGATCTCCCGCGGGTCCTTAAAAACTCCTAAAGTGAGTTGTATCAAACTTAAGGCCATAAAAAGTTTTAAATACGTTAAATGGTATAAGAAATGTCTTAATTATAATTTCAAAAGGTCTTACAGTTAGGGACGGAAAGACAAGATTCGCGATATGGCTGGATTAAACTTCAAAAGGCAATGATGTCATTGAATAAATATGAGCGCTGCAGGTTTCAAGTAAAAACGCGGCGCGGATGTCTTTATTTGAATGTATCTGAAGGGAATCGACTGTGCTCAGAAACGTGTTGTTGGCATTTTAATTTCATTTGACCTATAATTCCTGATAAAGCAGCGTTTATGAGCGCGGAGCTGCTTTGTGTACAGCC